GGGGCTTTTTTTTTTTTTTTTCCTTGCCTTTTTTTTTTTTTTTTCCCCTTCTCCCACCCCCTTCTCTCGGCTGATCCCCGCGACCTGCGTTTTCCTGGGGGTCCGGAACTCTGGATCCAAGGCACCGGCCACCCCCTCAGGACAACTCGTATCTCATCAGCACACCCCCTTGCCCATGTCCACCCATAAGCTGATGGCCTCCCGCACCACCCCACACACCCTGGAGGATTTCTTAATGGGGTGAAAATGCCAGTCCCCGAAGCCAGGGTTCCCGGACCCCCAGGGCCGAGCTGGGCGCGGGAGCCCCGCAGGGGCGGAGAGGCCGGCCGAGGTAGGTGGAGGAACTATTTCTTGACGTAATCCGTCTCTGTCGGCCCCGACGCTCCCGCAGTCTCTGCGCGAGCCGAGATCAGCGATTGTCAGTTCGGAACGTGGCTTTTAAAAATGCGTTTTTAAATAGTGTGTATGTATGTATTTCTTTCAGGAGCAGCAGCAGCGAGGGAGGGAGGGAGGGTGGGAGGGGACTGGAGAAGCTGGGGTGGAGGGAGGGAAGGAGGGAAAGGGGGAGCGTCCTTCTGCCACTGGCCAACTCAGCCCCCCAAATCTGGGGTAGGGCAGCTTGGGGAAGGTGGTCTGCTTGTGGGAGGGGTAGGACCTCCGGACCTCATACACCTTTATCATCAGAAGTCCTCTCTTTGCTTTGGCACAGATATGCAAGCTCCTTTATTTTAAATTTATTGTCTATATCTATTTATCTTTCTTTGCCAGCTTGAAGAAGTGGAGGAGAGATCAGCACAAGTGGGGCATCCCCGTCCTGTCTTCCTGCTCACCCTCCTTTGCCCCCAACTCCATCTCTGCGACACCCTGCCCCCCCAAAAGAAGTCACTCCAGGGCTCTGTCTGCAGAGAGCCAGGGTGAGAGCGGGCAAGGCGAGAGAGAGCGACCTCGGTCGTGGGCAAGTAGCTTGTTTTTACGTCCTTCAATAAAATTTTTATGAGGATCATTTGATTGTTCATAAATGTGTCTTTCATTAAATAAAATTGTAGGCTGTTTTTGGAACGGGAAAAAAGCAACGGAGGGATGGGAGAAAGCAATTTCTTTGGGGTCGGACGCAGGAATTCTGGAGGGGGCAGTGAGATTGTAAGGAAGATCAGACAACTTGGATTCCTCCCCCCAATAAGTTGGTTGCTACCCTCCTCCTTGAATTTGGGGTTTGTCGCCCAGCCCTGGGCTTTCCATCAGACTGTCCCATAGTGGTTTGGTAAAGGTGGGCTTTTAGCAAACAGGAAATTCTCAGTGGGTGCAAGAGAGGGGGGCAGGGAGTTTGGCTGGGGGGGCTAGAGAGAAGGGCAGGTGATGTCCCCCAGAGACACGATGCACCCTAGGCATGGCAGAGTGAGTTTGAAGGAGGAGTGCAATTTCAGGGTCAGAAGAGAAGAGTCCCAGTTTGTGCTATGGGAAATATGCAGGAGCTGAGGCTGAGACACAGGTTCTGAGGCAGCAGGAAAGGACAAGGATTCCCAGACAGGAGACGCCTGCCCTTCTTTCCCACTCTTGTCCCCAGGAGGGGACCAAACGTTGGGGGTGGGGGTGGAGGATGGTTTTCTCCTGTATCTCTGTCGACCTGTCTCCTCTGGGGTGGAGAAGGGCTGGAGAGAGGTGTCCCAGAGAGTGTAGCAAGTGTGTTGTGGAAGGGGGGGGAAAGTTGAGGGGGGAAGGGTAGATCTGCAGCCCACAGCACTGACCCCAGATTTCCAAGTCCCCTCCCTGGTCCCCGCTCCTCCCCCTCTCCGGTTCTTTCCTTTTCGGTCTAGCGGGGCTGGGATTTCGACGCATGGGGGGTGTGTGAGAAGTGCCTGGCTAGGGAGAGACAACCCGGGGCCTCAGCCTCCTCGCCTTCAGCTCTGATTGTCTTCCCCTCCCCCAGACTGGACTGGTGTGGGAAATCCAAATTACATCAAGAAACAGAATATCTCTTTGGCCTTGATGGAGTCGGGTTAGCTGTCAATCAAAAATTGTCCCTCACTAGTTCAAGGAAAAGACAGGAGGTTCCCTCCCGTCCCCCTGCCGAGGCTTTCTCCAAATCCCCAGCACCGTCAGCACCTCCCCCAGCCCTGGCGGCTGGGGACCCTGCCTGGCTCTGGGGCGGCTGCTGGCAGCACTGAGCAGAGACGTGTAGCTAGCCTTCAGCGGGCCCGGGGCCAGACAGAGACCTAGAGGACATCAGGGGACAGAGCCTGAGAGAGACTGAGCCCAAGACATAACAACTGCAACACGGCGCCAGGCCCATGGAGAAGAAGGAAGGAAGGAAAGAGAGAAGAAAACGGAGGACTGAGATAAAAAGAAAAGGAGAGGGGAGAATTAAAGGAAAGAGGGGGGCAAGATGAAAAGAGATGGGAGAGCAGGGAGAGGAAGGCGTGCAGAGAGCGGGAGGGAGGAAGGCTGGCGATAGGCAGGCGGGACGGGCAGGGCGCGAGCAGGGAGCAGCCGTGGCATTGTGCTGTCCGCTTGCTCTCCGGGCCTTTGCCGCGGGACCGGCTCCGGGCGCCGCAGCCACTTCTGTCCGGACACAAAGGAGGAAGAGGCCTCCTCTCCTGTCCCTCCCGGGTGACCTGCTGGGGTGGGTACACTAGGCCTCTGGAGGATGCAGAACCCCATCTCAGCCCAGGCAGCCCCCCCAGGCATCTGGGGGCTGAGCCACGCTCCAGTCAAGGAGCAAAGAAGACATGAGGAAGGAGAAGGTCTCATGCACCGCTCCTCCCTGTGCATCTTCGCCAGCCGACAGGGCCTATGTACCCCCACCTCAGTTTTCCTAGAAGAAAGGCGTCCCTAAAGACCTCTTCCTATGGGCCTCTACTATTTGGGAGAGCCCTTCAGACACAGCGGCTGTAAACAGACGCCCCTTTCTGTCCTACCCTCTTTGGCCACTACCTTCTTTTCAACTCTGGAGCTGCCTGCCCACCCTGCTTGCCCACCCAGCAGAGGCAGCGACAGCGGGGCAGACCTGATCACCCAGCCGGGGCTCCCTGCTGCCATCAAATTCCCCGTGAAACTGATGGGAGATGTTGCCTTCGTTTGAGAGCGTGAACTCAGACCCTCCCCACTCAGGCACAGACACAGCTGTGGATCAGGAAGCAGGCCTCGCCCACAGCCCCCTCCCCACCAATGCCCGGGTTTGCCTAGGCCTTGCAGAGAGCAGCAGCCACGAGGAGGGGGGCTGGAAGAGGCTGGGAGTCCCTGAGTTCACCAGGCCGAGGTCCCTCGGGTTCCACAATTGTCTGTGGGCTGTACCCATAGTCTCTGCATTTAGAGGTGGGATGGCAGGTCAGGGCTCTGAAGCAGAAATTGAGGTTCCCCCCACAAATCCCAGCCTGTGGATGTGGGGGCACAAAGGCTGTGGGGGCACTGATAGAGGGGCTTGTCTTTCCAGGTTCACCTACTCCTGCTGAATCTCCTGCCAGATTCCCACACTCCCTCTCAACCCCCACCACTCCCTTCAATTTTCCTCAGCTCGGATGGGGCAAACCCGAGGGACTGGAGGACACTGGGAGTCCCTGTTGGTGGAGGGAACCCCAGCTTTAGCCAGCAGCTCTGCATTCACTCTGGTTCTTAGAGCTTGCCTTCGACCCCAAAAGAATTCACTGGGCAGAGGAGACCCCCTAAGGGGGAGGGGCACCCTGACTCCATCACCTCAGACCTGCACAGCTGCGACCACAACCAAGATAGCACCACCATGGGAAGGACAGACAGACAAAAAGACAGACAGGTTAGAGTCACCCCCTCCCCTCGCCCTGCGCCTCCCTCTTAGTGATTTAAATTCCCTCCGGTTCAATCCACACCGTCAAGTTCGGATTAAATTTAAAACAGGCTTTTCCCGGTCCCCAGCAGCCTCAGGCAGGGAGCCCGCTCCCCGGCTCGTCAGCACCCGCCCGCGCGGAGGAGGCCGTGCTCCATTTGCTTTCATTTTCCTTCTCCCCCTGAAATGGGCTCATTTCACCTCTCGGCTGCCCTCTCCCCCTCCCCGCCCCCTCCTCGGTTCCCCTCTACTTTCCCCCCTTCTCGCTCCTGATCCCTCTTTGTTGGGAAAAAACACACCCACACACAACTCCTCCTAGCTAAGGCCTGCGCTGGAAGCAGACACTGAATTCTCCTGGCCCGCCGCGAGGAGAGACCGCGTCCTGCCCCCACCCCAGGTGGGTATCCGGGATCCCTACACACCAGGAGTCAGGCCCCTAAGCCCAGCAGGAGTGAAACCCCCAGGGCCTGTGAACGTGGCCCTCTCAACGCCACGGCCTGCATTCCCGCCGGCCCCCCGCCCTGTCGCCCCGCAGCAAACGGGGCTATTTCCGGCTCCCCCAACTGGGTCTGGTTTCCCAGCCTGGGGAGTGGCTGAGGGAGGAGCGGCCCCAGAACTGGGGGTGCTCTCTGCCTGAAGCCCCCGTGGCTCAGGGAGCCTTGTTACCTGATCTTTGTGTGATGTGTGTGTCGCAAGGAAATTTGCAGTGACTTTGGAGCCCAGACTGAGGAAGCCGAGGTGGCGAAAGGAGAGACAATACGGGTCCGAAGTACAATTAAGGGGCCAGAGCCGCTAGTCTCTCCCCCGCCCTCCCTGCCAGACTGGGAGCTGTCTGGCCTCAAACCTCAGGGCAACCCGCGAACCTGGAGCCGGAAACTCAGCCCATGGCGGAGGGAACCAGAGGATCCGGCATCCAGAAAGCTGGACCAAAGCTCCCTTCCAACTTGGGGGCGCAGCAGCCAGCCCCGCTGAGTTGCAGAGAATCCAATGAATGAAAGTGTACATTCCGACGAAATTTCCCGATTTTTTTTAGCCTTTGGAAGGAGAGCCTAGGGTTTGGGACGTCTCAGACAGACAGACAGACAGACAAACCGCATCTCCGGAGGCAGACAGACTCACAACATGAGTGTGAGCCTAAAATCAAATACAGGTTCAACATTCCCGAGGCCTCTCCTCCAGGCCGGGCGGGCGCCGATCTCCCTACCTTCTCTCCCCTCCAGGGCGTTGGGCAGAGACCCGGAAGACTCGGTCCCTCTGGCTTGGTCCAATCCCGCCTCGGGAAGCGCCTTCGTTACCTGCTCCTCGGCTCCCTACGGCCACAGATGCAGGGCAGCCGCCTCCCGCCGGGGGAGGGAAGCCCCGGCCACCGCAGCCGCCGCTGCCCGCCCTCCTTCCCTCCCTCCCTCTTTCTTGCCCTCCCTCCCTCTCTCCCTCCCTCGCGCGCTGCCGCTAGCGGGGCCCTCCCGCGGGCAACCTGTTCTGGACCAAATCCAGGTATCTCCGAAAGAGAGAGAGAGAGAGAGAAAAAAGGACCTCTTATGTGAAAAAGAAAGAAAGACCTTTAACCGCGTTTATTTTCCATGCTCTGACCACTGGCCGGCCTCTGTGCAGACGCCCTGGACACTGCCCGGCAGCTGCAGAGGTGTGCGGGGCCTGCTGCCTCGCCCACGCTGACCGCCGCGCCCCGCGCACTGCGCGCTCCACACTCTGGGCCGCCGCCCCCCGGCAGCCCAAACACCAAACAGACCTCAAGGTCCTTCCAACAGACTCAACATCCGGTTGCTCGCCTTGCGGCTGGCCTCCGCCCCGGAGCCCGCTCTGCTCCGTCTGCGGCCAAAGTCCACACACAATCCACCTTGTCCGAGCCCTCGCACCGGGCCGGACACCCCTCCTAGCCAAGGCGTCCGCCGGGCCACCCTCGGGCCGCGACCCTGCCCGGGACTGCAAACCTTCTCCCCCGCACGGGACCCACACAAAGCCCAGTGCCCACCCGCAGCCCCCCAGTCCCCAGCCGCCGCTGCCCTTCACCTGTTACCGAGAAAGGCTGCATCTCCGAGCCGAGGCAAGGCCGTGGGCCTGGGCGGAGGGTGCCGGGGATCCGGGGAGCCGAGGTCCCATGGAGGCCACAGAGGATCGGCCGGGCTAAGCCGGAGCCCCCGCAGCCAGCAAGATATCTCAGAGACCAAGGCTCTCCTTGACGAGCTCTTGCCTTTTCCTCCGTCTCCCGCAAGTCTTAAACACTCACACGCCGGGAGTTCAGCTCTATAAATCCTGCTCCTCTTTCCCATATCATAATTAAAAAAAACCAGTAGGGGAGGTTTTAACTTTTATTGCGATTTCTGGAGTTGGGCTGCGGAGCATATATTAAGTTTACGCTTATGCGCTCTCGGCGGGGAGGGTCCTTTAAGAAATAAAAATCCATCTTAATATCCGCAGACGAGAGAGATAATTTTTTCCCTCCTCTTCACGCTGTTTCTTCTGAAGACTCCCTTCCAGCGAAGCGAATAAATAATCACCATCGCCTCAGCCATAATCTACGGCCCCAGGGCCGTGGGGGTGGACTCTGGCCACCAGGCTGGCCCTCACCTTGGCGGGGTGAGGACTCGCCCCATTCCCCAGGATCTGGGAAGGGGAACACCCCAGACTCATGGCTCTGTGGCCACCCCCCCATAAGCCCACCGACTCTGAAATGGAAATGGGGGCAGAGAGAGACCCAAAGTGCAAAAGTCGTTCATTGGTGAATTTCGGCCCATCAGGGACACTCTCTCCAAGCCAGGCACTCCTGAGCACCCCGCCCCTGCCTGGGACTCCCTTCACTCCAACTGGTCCTGTGCTTCTGACAGCTTGAAAACTCAGAGACTGCTAGGGGCTCCCAAACCAGGGGAGCCCCTGCCTGCCTCGCACCAGCTGGCCTTCCTCTCTGAAAACCTCCCTATTTCCCCAGGAACCATAGAGAGATTTGAGCACTTTCCTTCAAGGAAAAGAGATTATTTTCCCCCACAAAGGGCTGGGGGATAGACAGAAAGACTAACAAACTCAGGGAGAAGAAAGGCTCTATTCCCATTTTCTCCTCTAGCTTCCCTGGGGTCAAAAGAAATCTCTTTGTAGAGAGAGAGAGAGAGAGAAATACACGAAGTATGCATGGAAAAATATACTAGGGCTTTGAGAGAGTCTGGAGAAGACAGACATATAGAAAAAGGGACCCACACTCATATACAAGGTTAGATATATCCCTCCAGCAGCCCACTGTGAGAAAATAGAACTCCATGTATATATTCTGTTACAGATGTAATTTTATTCCCCTGTCTCAAAGTTTATAATACTTTAATAATCATAATAATTCCAAAGTAAGAGAACCAGGAGCCTATCCTTCTCCTCTTGGCTTTCTCTTCCCCAGTCTCTCTGAGAACAGGGGTGTATCTCCCCATTCTCCCTGACCCCCCTCCCATTTTTCTCCACAGGCAGAGAAGCCTCTTTTGAGAGCCTTCTCTCTAGCGACCAGGGCCAGAATTGAGGAGCCAGGTAGGGAAAGGAAGGGAAGAAGCTTTGCAAAGTTTCACTTTGCTTGGGTTCTCTACTCCATTATCCTCCCCTCCTCCCCCTGGCATCAGCCAACAACCTTCCCAACAATATGGTAATGGTGGGCGCTGGCAGCCTCCGTTCACCCAGACATTTCCACACAGCGCAAAGACAAGCAGCTGCCTGACAGCCACAGACACAACAGACCAAGGCCTATGGGCCACAGAGAGCTAGACCGAAACTAGAACCAGGTTCCTGCCCTGATGTTTCCCAGTAGGGTGTGTGTGTGTTGGGCGGGGGGGGGGGGGTGTTTCTACTTGGACTTGATGGCTTTTCTCTAACATACTAACACCCTAAATATCCCCTTCTCATGGGGCTGGAGCTGTAGAAAGGGAAGGGGAGGTGGCTGAGCTGGAGCTCAGAGTTCCCCAACTCTTGGGACCCCCCCAGACACCCCACTTGTAAAGGGAGAAGCTCCAGCCCCAGCCGACTGGAGGTAGATTTTTGTCTTTGGAGGTTGGCAGGTGAGAGAAGCTAGCCCTTCCAGAGACTCCCTTCTCTTTCAGTGCTCTTTTCTCTCCTTCTGATCCTGCCCCACCCTGCTGTCCAACTGAGAGGGCCCACCAGGCCACCTCTTACTCAAATTCCTCAATTTCCTTGGAATTGGCTAGACTTTCTTTGTCTGTCTCCATCAGCTGGGCCCAGGAAACAATAGCTGCTGGGAAAACTCCTCTCCCTCAGTCACAGGGATTGGGACAGGCTGAGGAGTAGACAATATGAAGCGGGGCTCCCCAGACTTGTCCTGCAGTCCCAGTCACAGCTTGTCCTCCTCAGTCTGTACCCATTTTGCCCTACCTGGGAGGGGGCTGTGGGGCAGTCCCACTGGGGAGGGAAGGAGCAGGGTAGGTGGATTGGGGCCCTCGACGAAAACCGACTGATGTAACTCAGGCAGTTTCTTGTTGCCGAGTTCAAAACTCAATCCCAACAACATGAAACTACCTAAGCCACAGATCAGCTGAGCGAGCAGGGCGGGATCGGCTTTGCATCTACCGGGAGGAGAAGGGAAGGGGGTTGGGGAAGGAAGAAATTCAGCCCCGTCCCCCTTTCCGCCCCCACAACCTCCCTAAGGACTAGAGAGTAGACTTTGGGTGGCTGGGTGGGTAGGGGGTCTGACTGCCTCAACAGCCTCTGGTCTAAGCAAATTGCTCAGGGAAACTCTGGTGAAATGGGACCTCCAGCCGCCAAACCACCGCCCCGCCCCCAGCCCCGCAGTGGAGCTATTCCCCTGCCTCTGGCCCTAGCCCTGGGGGAAGCTGGAGTGTCCTTCCACTCTTGAGCTGGGTCCCCTGTCTTGTCCATCTGGCTCTCCTCCTGGATTCCCTCTGGTCTTCTCCCTGTCTCAGCTCTGCTTTGCTTCCCTGCCTCTATGGGTGGCCGAACCAAGGCTCTTGTGCCCCAGAGCCTCTTCCAGTCAGGCCACTTGCCTGGCAAAACCCCACGGCCAGAGAACGTGGGGACCGAGAGCTTGAATAAGGCTCGGATCCAAACCAGCAGAAAGCAGGAAACCTAAGCTTCAAGCTCCAGCCCTCTCTCGCCCACCCTCCCTCTTCTTCCCCCAGCAGATGACCAGACGGAGCGACATCTACATCCATGTGTCGACCTCGAGGCAACCCTAAGTGCCCGCGCAGAGAAAGAAGCCAAAAATCACCAATTTACCCCTTTACCCACCGAACCCCACGGCAACGGGTCGGGGAGGGGTGGAGAGGGAGCTCCCGGCCACTGCCCTCCGCTGTGAGTGCGGCCACAAGACAAGCCTGGGCTCTCAGCAAGCTCAGATGCCCAAAACACCTTCCTCCCTGTTGTGCCTGCTGCACGCCAGGCACCTGGGGACACCGCTGGTCCCCACTCCGCCGCCAAGAGAAGAACAAGAAACCGCTTCTCTTACCTTGTCGCCGCCTCCTCCTCCTGCCTCTGCCCGTGCTTCTGCTGCTGCTGTTGGGGGGGGGGTTGGCTGAGCTCCTTGTCCCCCTCCGGCGGTTAAGTTTATTCCTCTCTTTGGATAGGTGGGGGGCTCTTGGGGTTCCCCCAGCAGCGGTGGGGTGCGCCTGGCCCAGCACCCCAGGCAATCAGATCCGTCTGCTCCTCAAGATTGCAGTTTGCTCTCTGCCTCTTTCCCTCCTCCAGTCACCTTTAAATGCATCTTTTACTGCAGCACCACATTATATTTGCAGATCATAAAATCCACCTCTCGCGCGCACCAAGACCGTCCTGACATTACTGTTTTATGACCTTGACTTATTGTGGTCACCTGGATAATATTTAAATCAACGTTATGGTCTCTCACTTACATTAAACCCGCCAAGAGACATTCTAGAAAGGCTCTAGGAGATGAGTCAAACACAAAACACACACATCCACACACTCAGCCTCTTTCTGGGGTGGGGGGTGTTGCTAAAAAAAACACTTAAAAACAAAAAACCACCCATTTGAGGATTACGATTCTGGAAATTTATTAGGATTTTCTTCTCCATTAAGGAAGCGACATGCAAAAGATACAACATACAGAATATCTTTAAATAACACAACTCCCAGACAGGGACAGGGCAATATTTAAGGAGGGGGGGGCAGTCTGTCTTTGCTTCACTATGTTCTATTTATAATTTTTAAATTTTTTTGTATTCCTCTGGATGGAATTTCTGAGGTGTCAGTGGCGGGGGAATGTGGGGGGTGCTGGGAGGATGGAAGAAAAGCAGAAAGCAGTACAAATACGAGACTTCAAGCAGATTCTCAGAGCGACTCAGAGGTAAAGACATGGAGAGGGTTTCGTGGAGGCGCTGGGCGCTACGACAAACACACAAACACTAGCCGAACTTTCCAAAACGTCTATTATCCTAAGGAGGAAATGCAGCAAGGAAGGAGCGATTCTGACTGTGCTCTGCGA